ATTCCTCTGTATAACTCTAATATTGTACGAATGCCTTATGATCTGCTAGTTATACTAGTGTAACTACTATTACAGATATTCTAATCCAATCATTAGTAATAGTTGCTGAAATACAAATATTATATAAGTGATTATTCAGTTAATAGAATTTGAACACCCAACCTACCACTTGAAGGGTTAACAATCTGACCACTTCACTAGATTGTCATATCTTCTTTGTCTAATTTTATCAATTTTTACTTCTTCATAAAATATATATACTTTTTTTGCTTTAACAGTTAATTTATACAAGTTTACATCAGTAATATTAAAAAGGAGCAATTTGATTTCATTATATACTATTATTCTTGCTAATTAGTCATTAATATTATTTGCAAACTTAATATCACTAACTTGATTTTTGTATGCTTTATAATAACAGTACTAACACAAACTTTTTTTTTGTTAAGTCTTCATTGCTACTCTAAATAGATCAACTATATATTGCAATATGCTCTTACCAGATCTGTTAAAATCACTTCTAAAGAAAATTCAAAAATCTGAATATTGAATACTTTATTAACTTTATAGTTATTATCTTTGGTGCAAGTAAATAGCTTGAGTCTTAAACTTTATCTACTTTTTGGTTATAAGAAATTTTTTGATTAGACAATAGATTAGTAGATAACTTGGACTCTAGCTTATTTCTGAAATATTCAAACTTAATAAGTTATAGACCTAAGGCTTTGTTTTTTTCTTACTTAACTTTATTAAATTCTCTAAATTATTTCTAATATAACAGTTTTTATATTATATAATAAATTAGACTGTTCTAATAAATTATAATCTGAAGATAAACCTTGAAATCTAAACTTCTTTTTCTGATTTCTTTCTCTTATTTTATTGCTAATTTGCTCTTTATATACATAATTTAGAAATTTGATCTCTTTATTGTAAGAAGTAGTCTTCTAATATATATTAAAATTTGAAGCATTGTTAGATATATTAGAATTTGAATTATTATTAGATTCATCAGAATTTGAACATTATCAGATATATTAGATACAGGTGCATTCTCAGTTTGTAAATCAATCTGTTCAGGAATATTGTTAAAATTTTCTATTTTAGTAAAAATGTTATTAACTGAAGATTGTTTAATTTCCTTAATTTTATCATCTAACTTTGCAATATGAATTGTGTTTTTTTTATTATTCTGTTCCAGTTTAGCAAATAAAATTTATAATCTTTTAAAGTTTGTTTTAATTTGATATTTTCTATTTTAAGTAAATTTTTTTTTTTTATTATTTGTTCTAATTCTGTAATTTTAGTCATAAGCCTGACATTTTTTAGTTTTAATAAATCTATTTTAGATAAGTTTTTAGATTTCTCTTTTTGTTTTTGCATATTTAATATTAATCTATAAAACTTTATTAGTTGTATTCTGAAAAAGACTTTTATTGTATACAGCTTGAAAAATATTTTTGTCAACTCTTTCTAACAATTATCTGAACCAACCTTTTTTTTTCCCCTTAGACAGTTATGCTAATACTTTATTAAGATTTATAAAATTATTATTGCAATTACATAGATGTATCTAACAACTAAGTTTCGCATTACCCGGAC